ACACACACACACACACACACACACACACACACACACACACATACAGAGATATGTCAATGTAGTAAGAAAAATAAATAAAATGGAAAGACAAGACCTGGGGTGTAGCTCAGTGGTACAGTATTTGCCTAGGATGTAAGGACCTGGGTTTGATTTCCAGCACCAAAAAAGGAAGGGAGGAAAGAAAAAAGAGAGAAAAGACAAGCTCAAGATGACCCAGCAAAGTCCCTGGAGCACCTCTAGGACAAAAATACTTATTTCTCCACTTGGTGCCAAAGTCCACGGTTTCCCATACATGCATGTGATAACAGGTAAGGGTTAGAGCAGCAGCAGCTGCTGCTCTGTGCTTTCTGCCACAGTCTCAGCAGACAACATGCAGAGGGGAAGACACACAAGGTTCTCAAACACAGAGGTAACCGGAGACATCCTTCTTATTTGCCTGGACCACGACAACATCCACACTTTCCTTTTTAAAAGGTTGTTCCTGGGGCTGGAGAGATTGATCGGTGGTTAAGGGCACTGGCTGCTCTGCAGAGGACTCAGGTTCAGTTCCTAGCACACACATGGTGGGCAATAACCATCAGTAATTCCAGTTCCAGGGGATCTGGCGCCCCCTTCTGGCCTCTGTGGTCATTGCACAACATGCGTATGCTTACATGCAGGCAAAACACTCATATGCATAAAATAAAAATAAACAGACCCAGCACTCGGGAGGCAGAGGCAGGTGGATCTCTCTGAGTTTGAAGCCGGCCAGGTCTACATAGTGAGTTCCAAGCCAGATGAGACTACAGGGAGACCTTGTCTCGGAAAAAGACTAAATAAACAAAGAAATAAACAGGGATTATTTTTAGAAGGTTATTCCTCTGGGACATGTTTCCATTAGAACACTTTTCTCCTCTTATACATGTACAGCTTTCAACATCCAAGAGGAAAGGAGGGCGTTGAGAACAAAGGGTACCACACACTGCCAGTCTCCCTGTGAGTCTTCATCCTGAGGACAGGGATGCCCCTGGCTTTGGACTGAAAGGCCTGCTTGTTTCCTGTCTGTGCCATCTTCCCTCATCCTCAGAAAGCATCTGAGAAAGTTCAGAGCCTAGACTGTGTGGGCCTCCACTTTCTGGCACTCTGTATTTGGTAGGGTTTAAGTGGTATTAAATTCAAGACGTATGTTTATGTAATGAGAATAAAGGATACTGGGAAATGATCCTGTTTAGAGCACATCAGAAACCAGCTCCATCCCCAGTTGAGAGGCATGACCAGTGCACATTGAGCAGCAGAGGAAGGTATGTGGGACTGGAGGAGTCTCTAATCCCCTAAATCCTATGAGAAGGCCACTCCCATGGCTGAGCAGCACACAGAAACAAGAACAGCCCTACAGGGAAGGGGCTGCTGAAACACATCACGTCCTAGATGTGACGTCCAAGCTGAAAGCCGGGTCTACATGGGAACTGCCTGTGAGAGGTGTGGGAAATAAGCTAGGTGCATTTTTTTTTTTTTCCTTTCCAGAGTTAGAAGAAAAAAGGTTGAAGTGAAGAGGTTGGATAAAAAGTATAAACCAGAAACACAGCCCAGCCATGAGGACCCGGCCTTTTCCCCTGGCTTGGATTTCTTCCTCCCAAGTTGTGTAACAAATGTAGACATAAGGGCTCGTTGTGGGAACTCCTCAGGCCAACCCAGTGGACTAGAAGTAGATCCTTCAAATTAGATGTTACCTTTCCAAACTGCCCACTGGCACTGCCCACCTTTGCCCTAAAAAGACATGCAGTGGAGGTTAGGGATGCAGCGAGCAATGGTGGCAGTGTGATGGGGTGGGAGGAGATGCTAGGCAGTACAGGAGCCAGCACATTCAGGAGGCACTGAGGTAGGGTTACTCATGACCAGGGGCTGGAAAATGAGCCTCGCCTGTGGGAACTCTGGGCCCTATCTGAGTCTCACCACATATATAGGCGGAAGGAGGAACTACATCTCTGAAATTCTTCCTGGCTTCAACATTCTTTCTCCTAATCCTCTGCTACCTAGTTCTTTCACTAGAAATGCTGAAAACCAAGATGTCCACAGGTGAAGACAGCTCTTGGTAGGTGGAAGATATTCTCAAAGAAACAAGTCATTTCTAGTCCCACAGGAGAAGCAAAGTACTCTCACTTCATAGTTACAGAGAACAACCCAAAAAATACAGTCAGGCACTCAGAACAACTGTAGAACCTGGGCTCCCATGGCTGGATTTTTTTTCAAATGCCATGTTCAGAATTCCAACTGGTTTAATATTTTTTTCTTCAAACATACAGGCCCCCTACTACTTTGTAACTAGCTGTCTTCATTTATCCAGGGCCAGGTACTGGGGACAGAAACGCAAAGACAAGACTTTCCCGGAGTTCATGTAGCTGGAGGCACAAGCAGGCAACTGCACTTTTTGAAGTATCACGCTAAAAAAATGCCAAACAAGGAAGCTGCAATGGCAAGTTCTGGTAAACAATGCACTCCAGCAGCAAGCTAGTAAATGAAAGTCAGGAAGAAGAACTCAACTTCCCCAGGCCCTTTGATCCCAAACCTACTGCAGATCCTCAGAACAGCAATCAGAACCAGTGTGGTAGTTAGTCACCTCAGAGAGCAGTACTTTATTTTGTATGTAGGTACACTGTAGCTACCCAAATTTTGTCTGTTCAGTGTCTAAAGGGCAAGATCCAGGCTTATTTCTTTAATCTCTACAGCATCTAAAACAACCTGAGGCACAAAGAGGATACTAAATATATAACATCCTCTGTGAAAGGGACAGTGGATGAGATGTTGGTAACGTGTTTCTTTATGAGGTTGCAGGCTGGCACTCTGAAGCCTTCACTGAAGCATGACTGGCCTACCTGAGCACTTCACTAACCCACTGCAGAAGCCATCTGACACAAAGGGTCAGGGGTGGGCTCCTTTCCTGGAGGGTCAGAACGCAGAACAATACAGGTGACTAGTGTGGTGGTAAAGTGCAGAGATCAGAAGGAACAAAAAACAACTGTTTATATTTGGTTTAAGGTTCTAGCACTCAGAAAATGGACCTACAACTATCATAACATAAATCAGACACCATCCTCACTTACTTACAAGCTTTCAATGGCTCCTACTGTACTTAAGAACAAATGCACCTTCTTCAAGTGATGCCCATTAAGCCCTCACTCTCCAGACTCCAGATACTGGCTTCTCAATATTGCTCTTTGCTTTAAAAATCTTTGTTTTGTTTTTGAGACAGGGTCTCACTATGTAACCTTGGCTGACCTGGAACTTACTATGTAGACCAGGCTGGCCTGGAACTCGCAGAGACTGCTTCTGCCTCCCAAGTGCTGGGACTAAAAGTGTGTGGCACCATGCATGGTTCTTTCTGTTTCCTCCACCCCCCCCCCCACACACCCCCCGACCGAATTTACACTGGTAGCACAGTCAGCTCTCCCACATTCTCAACTTACTATGTAGACCAGGCTGGCCTGGAACTCGCAGAGACTGCTTCTGCCTCCCAAGTGCTGGGACTAAAAGTGTGTGGCACCATGCATGGTTCTTTCTGTTTCCTCCACCCCCACCCACCCACCCCCTGCGACAGATTTTCACTAGGTAGCCCTGGCTGCTCTGTAACTTGTTATATAGACCAGGCTGGGCTTGAATTCATAGAGATCTGCCTCCTGAGTGTTGGGGTCAAAGGTGTATACCACCACACTCCGTTTTGGGGTTTTTTAAATTTTTTTATTTTGTTTTTGTTTGTTTGAGACAGGGTCTCACTGTGCAACCTTGGCTGGCCTGGAACTTAATATGTAAGACCAGGCTGGCCTGGAACTCAGAGAGATCCGCCTGCCTCTGCTTACTGAGTGTGGGAATTAAAGGCATGCACCACTACTTCCAGTTTATTTTGGGGTTTTGAGATAGTCTTTAACACTGCAGCCCAGGCTGGCCTAACAAGACTATGCCACCCCAACTTTTTCCTGTTAACAAATCCACCAATATTAATTCATAGCACAGCACTTATCAGTTATCAAGTTATCTCCATTTGTCTTTTTTCCTTTCCCTTATCAGTCTTGCCTTTCTAACCATACATCTCCTGGAAGCAGGAGCAGATTTCTCCTTCACTGTCAGCTGGCACATACCACTACTTTGAGTGGGTGACAAGTGGGAAACTGGTGGCAACAGGTCGACAGGCTCTGACAGTGGAAAGTCTTAGTTCTCTCATGGTCAAGCCAGATGTTGCTACATGACCTTTTTCTTTCTTTCTTCACTGGGGTGTATCCAAGGGGTGATAACATACAAACAGGAAAGGGAAAGCCTATGCTCTCTGCCTACAACTTACAAAGAAATGTCAAAAAGAGCAGCCCAGTGCTGGCTCCAGCTTTCACTCCATTTATAATGCTGTTAGTATTCAAAGCAGATTTTCTTGCCTCTCAAACATTCCAAGGTTTGGTTTCATTTCTCCCCGAATGGATGCTGCTCTGCACCCACTGGTGCAGTGCCATGGCAGCTCACTAGCAACCCCATTCAGGCATGCTCATGCCCATACCCGCCCCAGGTACCTGAGGACCTCACCCTAAACTATCGTCCACTGAAAATAGCTACCCACCATGGAACAGAGGTTTCTCATCCCAACAACCTGAGCATAAAGGCAAAACAAATGCAAACAGCAGCTTCTTCCTCCCGGCCCCTCAGCACAGCACCTGCTCCTCCCTAAGAGAAGTTGCCAAAACCCTCTGAAAGGTGCAGCATACACGCAAAGGATGATTCACTGACCCTCTTTGAGTCTGATACTGTTTCTTTCTCTGTGACCCAGAACCCCTGAACTGGGATCAGCAATGGGGCAGGAGAGAAGGGAAAACAGAGCCTGCTGCTCCGCTTTGTTAGACACTTCCTGGGCCAAGCTAGATGCACACAAACAGGTCCTAAAGTGATTCTATAAAACGCTGGAGAGAGGCACTTACGCGGCATGATCCCTTGGCTCACCAGCTCTTCCCGGGTCCGGCGCTGTTGGAGCTTCAACTGCAGCACTGCACAGCAGCAAAGAAAGGAGAGAGACGGAGGGTCAGTCGGCTATCCCACCTCGAAAGGCACATTTTCAAATACAGAAAAAGCCCCAAACAAGGAGTATGAAATAAGACTCCCTTGAGCTGCGACTGTGTGTAATTGCAGAAGTGGCCCGATACAGCAGGGTTTCCGTATTCTGCTGTGGGCGGCAAAAGGAAGTTGCGAAGGGTCTTGCAGGGTGATAACAATCCACAAGCTACCCGAGTCTTGCTCTTGCTCAAAACCTCCTACAGTACTCAGCCTTCCCCCCAGGGCTGAAAAACATCAATTTTGAGCCCAAACAAAGTATAATGAGGGCCAGCACCCATAGCACTTTCTAGCTGCTGTGCAGTTTCCCAGCAAGTATCTTACACCATGAGCACGCTGAATGATGCAGCTACTCACAGAGACCAGGAAGTATGTACTGATCAGTTGTAAAATGTTTTCTTTTGGATCTTAAAAACTGTAGCCATTTTGACCCTGCACCACATTCCTCTAGACTGAAAGACATCTTGCATTAATGCAGTCTTCTCTTTCTCTCCTTCTCACTGGGGCCTTTTTCTGTTGAGATGAGACAACCAAGCTACATGACTTGACACACATCTGGGCTCATGGAGAGGTGAGTGTTCCTTCTAGCTCCATTCTGCAACACTATCTAATGAAACAATTTAACAGGGGTTTTTATTAAATTAGACAAATTATCTCTACAACTACACGCTATGCAGAAAAACCATGGGCACAGGTATGGTTAGAAGACCAAGGGAGAAAGTGCTCAGGGGAGGGATAGGAGAATCCCGAACATACAACAGGCTTCTAATTGTAGGGTCCCCATATCTGAGGAGAGCCTGCTAGGAATTATGCTGTCCTAATATTGGCCTTTTACACACAGTTGCTTTTAGGGAGGCATCTAGGGAGGGAGGATAGTTAGGCTCTGGCCTGCATTGCAAATTCAAGAGGTACAAAGTAGAACTTACCTCTCTCCCCAAAATCTAATGTGTCCCAAACTTTTACCCTCCCCGGAACTAAGGCTCAATGTCTAAACTAAGCTGCACTCTCCTGGCCCTGACACTGCTCTTATTCACTCTCATGTCACCACTCTTCCAGGTTGCAGCGACTCACATGCTACCCTTGCCGAGGTATAAGGCATCCCCATCGGGGCTGTTGAGTTTTATTCTCTCTCAGGTACCATGGACCTTTCCCCACTTTTTAAGTTCACGTTTCACCTGGAAGCACTCACCCAACAGACTCCCTCACATTCAGATTACTCTGGGTTACCTGAGCTACCTTTACCTATTATGAAAAGTATAACAACATTCTGCCCCGTATAGTAGTTACTGCCTGCTAACATATTGCCTCTCTAGTTTATACGCTCCTGGAAGGTAAGAAAATGCCTTATTAGCTGAACATGGTGGCCACGCCTATAATTTCAGCCCTCTGGAAGTTGGGACAGGACAACTGCCACGAAGTCTATGCCAGCCTAGGCCTACAAAGTGAAGAGCCAGACTCAACAAAAGGAAAGGAAAGTGTTTTATAGACACATATCCCTCTTGCAATTCATACACAATTAAGAATTCGGCAACTGTTTCTTAAGTTGAAGAATGTCACTGGAGCCCAGGGGCACACATCCATAATCCCAGCTCCTAGAAGGATGAGGTAGGAGGCTCAAAGTTCAAAGCTTGCCTTGGCTACCAAGGATTTAATTGAATTTCAAAATTATGCTACACAGTTTGAAAATCTAACAAAGAAGCTTTATTATGTTATAAATAAACATTGTTTAAAGTCTTGAAGAATTAAGTATATAGAAACAACTGCACTAGGGACTGATATTTACAGCATGTGCTTTTTATTTTTTGTTTGTTTTTTGAGACATGGTCTCCTTATAGCCCCAACTGCCTGGAACTTGCTATGTAGGTCAGGCTAGCCTCCATCTCACAGAGATCCGCCTGCCCCTGCCCTTGCCCCTGCCTCCTGAGTGCTGGGATTAAAGGTGTGCACCACCACACCAGTCCATAGCATGTGCTTTGTGCGTGACTCTGTTCTACACGCTTTTGGTAGGTTTTGTGTATATGTTGTTTTGTTTTACTGTGGTGCTGGACATAAACCCAGGGCCTGGTGCATTCTAGGCAAGTGCCCTACCACCGAGCTACTGCCCAGGCCTAGAATGCTTTAAATCACTTAGTCTTCATAAGATCCCTAAGGAGATGAGGTACTGTTCATCCCTTTCTACAGGTAAGGGAAGTAAGGCCTAGAGAGATTAATGCGCCTACATTTATCTCATTTAATAAGGGTAGACCAGGATTTGAGCCCAGACAGTCCTGATTCTATAATCTGAGCTCCTATCTCTGCTTCTCCCAGGATCTTCTGGAAGCCAGCTCGGCTGAGATAACAGACCTGGAGTGTGACCTCCTGGGCTCATTCTCTGGGTGAGTCTGACAAAGGAGCTAAGGAGAAGATGGTTCAGATCAGAGTCAAAGGAGTTTAGGTAACCAACTTCAGTAGAGCAGATTTCATCTAGGAACTAGATTTAAGAATAAATTATAAGCGCTGGTCAACAATAATAATAAAATATAAAAATAATAGCTAGAAATCCTAGCGCATGCTACCCTATGTCTGCCTTTGTGTTAAATGACTGACATGCTTTTAACTTAATTATAAAAAGGCTGGGCATATAGTCAGTGGTAGTACCTAGCAATCAAGGCCCTGGGTGCCATTCCCAGCACTGAAAGAGGAAACCTCCTGAGGACAAACCAGTCATAATTATCTCCATCTTACAGATTAGGAAATTCAGAGTACAGACCTTTAAATTTTTGTCCTGCATCACACCGTTAGCTAGCATCCCACCCTGATGTCTGTGGGTCTCAGTGTGATCCTTAGTCATATGCAATACCCATTTGTGGGAAAGAAAAGGGAAAGCCAAGCCAGAAAACATGGAAGCGGGGTAAAAGGACAGCTACTGCCATTTCTTAGGGTAGTTCCAAGGCCTAATGTATGCGAAGCTACTAGAAAACAATTACATACAACTAATTTGATTTTAGAGAACAGAGACACAATGAAAGTCTGAACATTTCAAAGAAGGAATTTCTGAAAACATATTACCCAAGAGTAATTTTGAAATACTAATCAGTAGTCCCAAGAGAACCATACACAGTTAGGGCTACAGGGACTATCAAAAACTTTGTTTTGTTAGTGAAGAGCCTAGATTTCCCAGTTTCTGACCTGTTTTTTGTTTGTTTGTTTTCTTCCAATTCCTTTCTGGTAGGCAACTCAGTTGATTCACCATCCATGAGCATTAAAGACATTTGTTCATTTAGAACATTTGAAATTTGCCCTGTTCTGACCTTTTTCTGGTTCCCTGTCTAGAATTTGTAATGCTAACTACTCTTGCCTTTACTTCTCCTTCACATCTCTTAGGCACCAAAGACTTTCTTTTCTCCCTACAGTTAAGAGTTATGCAATTGGGAGTCTTTTAGATAGACCCACTGAAGAGGTACCCCAAATGCCTCACCCTGCATCCCTGTTCAGCATGAAAGAAGTCAGAGTGGTCAGCGTCCCGATTCCCAATTGGTAATTTGGGTAACTTTTTTAGAGGATGATGTGATAAGAATAGGAGGTAGGAATTGGCTAGGCAGTTAGGGTAAAAAGACTCCAAAGAAAAGTAGCCAGTTTCTTGGTTAAAAGTCAAAAGGTCCTTGTGCCTCTTAGCAATATACTCTGTTCCAAAGGCCAAAAATGTCACAAGTATTTGAGAGCTCTTATCTAGTCCCTAAAAGATTTTTGGGTTACCTCTTCTGAGGGGGGAATGTTAGAGTAGCAAAAAGCCCCCTAAGTTTAACTGGTCAAGACTGGTCAAATCCCTAGTCTGTCTGTTGGAGGACCCACCTTTCCAATCTCACTGGTCAATCACCTGGTGATAGAACCACCCCTAGGAAGGCAGGTTCACCTTAAGTTAAGCTAAACAGATGGGCAGAATACCTGGTGTGTTAACAAGCGAATTTTTCCTGCCTGGAATCCCGCCTTGTAACACAGAACTCCGCAGAACTTCTGACCACCCACAGTCACGCAGGTCTCTGTAAGTCTGCCTGCTTTCTGCTGTTTGGGTCCATTCTTCAATTCTTTTATGAATGAGACTAAGAACCCTCTAGGGGACCCTCTTTCCCCCTGTTTCAGTACACGCCAAAACTATGGACATAAGATATCTTACTTTAATTAAGAGACAAAATGACCTACAGTAACAGCATGTGAAGGTGCTTTGCAGACAATGATAGACTGGCATCATCCTTTGAACTATTCTGGGAAAAAAAATCATTTTGTACCCTTTGTATGTTCAGAATGTAGCATTATCAGAAACCCTCAAAAAAAAATAGCCTTGTAGTGGAAGATGCTTATGTTTAAGGAAAGTTCCAGAGAAAAGATTGAAATTGAAAACATTTTATTTTTCAGCCTACTTTCTACCTTACAGTTGAGAAAAGACTACTACTGTTAGGTTGTAGAAACAGACACCACAGTCTAGTATGTGGAACTTCAGATTCTTCTCTTCTAGCATCTTGTCCTGGATGGATGTACAACTCCTTGCCTTCCAATTTATAGAATCTCCCTCTTTCTCAATTCCTTTTGTGGTCCCATCCCTAAGTGTAAATCCTTATACATTAGAAGAAAAGTCTGCTGTTCTCACTTACTGAAAACTTCTGAGTTGAAACATAAAACCGCTCCTGACATTTTGAAAGCAAATAAATAAATAAATAAATAAAGTCATAAGCACAAAACAAGCCGCTATATTTGTAACAATTTAGTAATGTTATTAAGGTTAAAGATAGTTCTTTGAGTCAAGAGTAAGAATGAACATGTTTTTGCAAAGAAGAATTTATTATTATCTGAAAGTTTAATAAATATTCATATTGTATAAAATTATTCCCAATCTATATAAAAAAAGACATTTGTTCATTTATACACAGTCTGCTTACACAAACCCATTTAGAAACAGATG